ACTTCACTTCTACCAAATGCCTTCAGAATTAATGTCCCATTGTCCGACCCAAGACTTGACAGCTTGTAGAGAGATTTTTTTTCCTGTGTCCAGTGTCTCTTAAGTTTACTTGTACTGTCTCCAAAGGGAAGGTGATGTGTCCTGTATACATAGGCACTTTATTAATTCAGTCAGCCATTATTTTTCAAATGACCAACTCATAGTGTTCCAAATGAAGAGATTAATTCAAAATACAAATACAGGTAAAGACAACTTAACATAAAAAGTTCATTACTATAGCCTTAATTCCTACATTAAAACTAATATTAAAAAAAAAACCCCAAACTAATATTTAAGTTAGTTTTTGGTATAAATGCAAAAGAGAATATAATCATAGTTCACTAAAACTTTTGAAAAAAATAAACAAAGGTAGAAATTTTTCTCTCAAATTTTTGCTCTTGCTCTACTTTTTAAAAAATGTATTGCCTTAAATGTTGTCGTTAGGTGCTGCTGAGTTGAGTACAACCCATAGCAACCCTAAGAATAGCCTACCTGAACCCTGTCCTATTCTGTGCCATCCTCACAATCTCTGACACACAAGAGCCCACTGCTGAAGTCACCATGTCAATCTATCTCGTTGGAAGTTGTCCTCTCCTTCCCCGACCCTCCATCTTCCCAAGCACGGTATCCCTTTCCAAGAACAGCCATGCCTAGCCACATGTCTACAGTAGGAAAGATGAAACCTCACCATCTTTGCTTCCAAAGAGCACTCTGGCTGCACTTTTCCCAAGACATATCTTAGATAATATTTTTGCCTTGAATGAGACATTTATATATACATGATCATTTACAAGTGTTTACTCATAGCAAGAAATAGAACTCAAACACCAATAAATGATAATTAGAAAGCACTTACATATTTTCTAAGGTAAATATAAGCAAATAATTTCAAGAAAATAGCCAATAAGCTTTAATGATTGCCAGTGAATGAAACAGAGAGATAAAACATCAGATGTACTAAAACCAAGATGTATATGCATGTTTTTAACCAGAGTCTAAAATTACACATTTACTTTTCTTGAAAACTTTCAGAATATTAAAAATAAAAGCAGCTGTCGACAATTTCGGAAACCAGGCTAGCAGTATTTTAAATACTGCTTAAAAGTACAGAATTTGGAATTGAACCGAGGCCAAAATCCCAACTTTTCCGCTTCTTTGAAGAAATAATCCAATTACTTAATCCTAAATTTTCTGAACATAAAATTTTTACCAATACCAAAGTATATGGAGTTCCTGAGGGGATCAGAGTACACAGTTTGTTATGTACTGCTGAGTCAGAACTGACACCTAGCTGACCCTCCAGCAGGCTTTAAGAAGCAGTAAACCATATGGGAGGATACTGTCCATCTTCTGTGCGGCAGCTGGTGGATCTGAACAGCATGCTTTCTGATAGTATAGTTCCTTCCCACTAGGCTACCAGAGCTCCCTATATATGTGATATACTTAGTATAATGTCTGATGTAGCTTAAATACTAAAAAAACAGTTGATATTCAAATAATGCATCTTACCTTCAATTCCTTCTCAAGTCTATCTACTTCAGCTCCTAAAGTATCAATAATATTTTCTCCATGTTTAAGCATAAATGTTTCTAGATCTTCAGGAGTTTTCACTTCTTGAATTTCCTATACAGAAAATAAATTAGTATTTTGAAAAATCATAGTTGTATAAGCTAATGTCAAAAATATAAATTAATGAGGTAAGGATTCTTCAAAAAGAGATCTGTTACACCAAATATCACTATGTTTCATTAAAATAAACTTTCAAGACCCAACCAATAGGCCCTAATTTCCAAAATAATGTGACTCAAGAAAAACTGAGTATAATGTCATTCAAAGGCAGCATTATAAAATCAGTGGGGACAATAGAGACAATACAACTTAATGATGTCAGGACAATCATTTTTCTAAAAGGGAAAAAAATACTGCATTCCCATCTCAGATCATTATATAAACAAACAAAGGTAACTTTAAAAACCTAGGGATGAAAAACAAACTTTCAAGCTTTCAAAAGAAAAGGGAATCTTTTTTTTTTTTAATAATTTTAATGAACATTTACAGAGATTTTGGATTTCCATTCATTCACTGCTGCACTTGAAAAGGGAATCTTTTTATAGATACTGAGATAAAGAATGATTTCTTAACCAAAGATAATAAAAACCTTGAAAGAAAATATTACATATTTGAACTAAAAATGAAAACCTATTAAGTTTCCTGTTCTGTAACAAAGTTAAAAGTTATGTTATAAACTAGGAAAAGATATCTGAATACATGTAACTGAGGAAGACTATCCACAAAATGCCTATAAATCTTTGAAAAACACAAATTAATGGCCACAAAATAATTAAAAAAATAGAGAATAAATCTCAGCAGGCAAGGTATTTTCAATGATGACGCTCACAACTCAAGAAACTGAAATTAAATATTATTTTAAATCTATCATGACAAAACCATACAAAACTGTCCATGTATTCTATGAAAAATGTTTAAAATAATAGGAACTGTTGACTGTTATGGTTGTCGGAATGTGTTGTTGAATTGGATTCTACTCATCGCTGACCTTCCAGTGGGTTTTCAAGGCAGTAAGTCACTTGGGATGAAAGTACCCATCAAACCTGACTCAAACTGCATGTCTTTGGGGTGATATTACAATTCCTTAACACAAAACCACAGAGTTCCACTTTGTTGAAAGTGAACAATAGATATTGTTGTTTGTTATGTGCCATCAGGCGGCTGCTGACTATAACAACCCTACGTACAGCAGCTCTCAACCTTGGTCTATCCTGAACCGAACTTACTGTCTCTGACAAACCTACCCCCAGAACTCAAGTCAATGAGTCAACCCATCTCATTGAGGGTCTTCCCTCCTGTGCTGTCCCATTCCACCCTCCCACGCCCAATGTGCCTTGCCAATGACTGGTTCCTCCTTGCAACAAGCCCAAAGTATGTCAGATGGAGCTTCAGAATCCTTGCCTCCAAGGAACAGCCTGGTTTTACACTCTCCAGGATAAGCCTCTTTGTTCTCTTAGCCATCCATGGAATAATCAATAATCTTCTCCAGCAGTACAGCTTAAAGGCATCAATTCTTCTATCTTCTCTAGTCATTGCCCAGCTTTCTAATGCATAGCACATAATTGTGAAGACCATGGCCTGGATCAGGCACATCTTGGTCTCCATACTGACATCGTTGTTCTTTAGTACTCTGGAGATGTCCCTGACAGCAGACTTTCCCAACGTAATTCATCTTTTGGTTTCCTGGCTGCTGGTACCAATAGTATTGATTGTGGAGCCAAGCAAACTGAAGCTGTCAACCAATCTCTTCACTGTCCATCATGATACCATCAATCAGCCCAGTGGTGAGAATCTTTTTCTTGATGTTGAGGTTCGATTCCTATTGAAGGCTGCAGTCCTTGACCTTCCACTGCAAATGCTTCAGGTCTTCCTCAATTTCAGTAAGCAGGGTTGTGTCATCTGCATAATACAGGTTACTGATGAATCCTCCTCTAATTCTGATGCCACATTCCTGCTCATAGAGCCCAGCCTCTGGATGATCTGTTCCACATATAAGTTGAGAAAGTATGGAGATAGGACACATCACTGGCTGATTTTGAACCCTGCAGCAGTGTTTCCTTGCTCTGTTCTGATGATGGCCTCTTGGTCCAAGTATGGGTTTCACATAAGCACAATCAAATGTCCTGGGATTCCCATTCTTTTCAGAGTCAGCCACAGTTTATTGTGATCCACAGAGTCAAATGCCTTTGCATAGTCAATGAAACACAGACATTCCTCTGGTACTCTCTGCTTTTGGCTAAGACCCATATAACATTAGCTATAATATCCCTAGAACCATGAATTCTTCTAAATCCAGCCTGCATGTCTGGCAGCTCTCTTTAGATATGCTCTTCTAGTCGTTTTTGGATAATTTTCAGCAGAATCTTGCTTGCATGTGATAGTAATGATATTGTTTAATAATTTCTAATAAATTAGTAGACTCTAGAAAATAACCTGCTACAAAGTAAGGAAATTAATGGGAGCTCTGGGTGATCTAGATTTTAGGGAGCTGTGCTGCTAACTCAAGTGCCTCTCTGGGAATTCAAATCTATCAGCAGCTATATATGATAAAGGTGGGCCAATCTCTTTCTGTGGGATTTATAGCCTCAGAAACCCATTAGAGGGTCTATTATAAGTAGGTTTCAACTGTGCCAATAAACTTTTATTTTTTTGGGGGGGGGAGTTAAAGTTGTATACACCCAATGAATCACCTAAAATATTTTACATCTGGTTACTTATTAACCTAAAAAAAAAAAATTAAAAATCGGTGCTTGTGAATAAGGAAACATGTATAAGAATGTTATCATCACATTGTTTCACAAGAGTTTAAAAATGGAAACTACGTTTCCATCAATTGCAGACTGAATAAAAAATTTACAGCAGTCACAGGATAGAATACTATGCTAAAATTAAAGTAAATGAATTAGAGTAACATATTAGTATGAAAAATATCCCAAACCTGCTATCTTGCAAAAATAAATTCCAGGGGATTATATACAGTAGGATAATATTTACACCAAATTTTATGCATTCAAAGTGTTATTATATACTGAGAAAAAAATATATATTGAAAAGTATAAAAGCCTAAATGGAAATAGGGAGGTCTGGTGGCCTAGGGATAAGGAGCTACAGTGGCAACCCAAAACCACATAGTTCAAACCCACCAGCTGCTCTGTGGGAGAAAAATGGGCAATTAACTCCTGTATGACTTACTGCCTCTAAAAACTTGCGATAAGGTCAGTTATGAGTCAGTTCCAACATGAAGTCACACAACAAAATGAAAATAAGTACCAAATTCAGGATAGTAATTTATTTTAAGGATGAACAGAGCAGAATGAGGTAAGAAAAAAAGAGCCTGGGTATTTCAACTCTGTGAAGATCTTAAGCAAATATAGTACAGCAAAATGTTAATATTCAACAATAACCTCTTAACTGCTCATTTTTCTTAGCCTTCATAAATTCTCCTCTAAATTATTCATAATAAAAAATTAAGGACTATGGAAGCAGAGCTGAATTCAAGTCTGACTCCGTTTATGGCTCTGTAATTGATACGTATTCATTCCTGTGTCTCAATTTTCCCATACATAAAATGTAATCTTTTTTTAAATTTTACAGAACTTTAGAGTGACCAAGAAAACATACACAAAAAATGTCTAAAATATGAAAAGAACTATTATTATTGCATTTATGTACTCTTCCCTGGCCTGTCCAACCATTAAAAAAAAAAAAAAAAAAGGCCAAAACAAAATTGGGCTCTGGTAGCCTAGCGGCAAGAAGCTGCACTGCAATCCTAAAGCCACAGAGTTCGAGGCCACCAGCTGCTCTGCGGGAGAAAGATAGATGGGCAACCTCCTCCTATGCAATTAACTACCTCTCTACCTCTGAAAACCTGACAGCAGGTCAGCTATGGTTGGTTCTGCCTCTAGTACACAACAACAACACTGAAGATGAAGGTAGAAATTATTTTAAGATCTATTAAACTTTTTTGTTTATTTAAAAAGTAACCGTTCTAATCATTGGCTAGAAGAAAGCATAAAAACATAAACTTACTTGTAACAATTGGTCAAAATCTTGTTTTTCCAAATATAATCTTGTAACAACTCGTCCATCAAAATCTACTTCTGCCTTAAATCTCACTTTACCTAATCCCAGATCTGTGGCTTTAACATCATGAATTGCCCTAAATCAAGAACAAAGGCAAATTAACATACAAATACATTTTAATGGCAAAAAGTCAGGAAATTTTTTCTTTCCCACCAGTGACAAAAACGGAGTAAGAACATTCAAAAGAGCAAAACTGTCAGTTAAAACATCCAAGTGCATCCAGCTACAGTATTTTCAATAACTTTCTATGCATCTGAAAGTGAATAAAATTTTATCAATTAATAAGCTGATTAATAATTTTATCAAATAACAAAAATGATAAAAAGAATCGATGTCTTTGAATTGAGGTGGAGAAGAGTACACATCTCATGGACTGTCAAAAGAACCATGAAAGCCTGTCTTGGATGAAATGCAACCAGGGTGCGTCTGTGAGACGAGGATGGTGAAACCTAGTGTCACTTACTTTGGGCAAACTTTCAGGAGAAACTATTCCTTACAGACAGGTATCAGGCTGAGAAAGGTGGAGCACTGGAGAAAAAGAGGAAAACCTCAAAACGATGAACTGACACAGTGACTGTAACAACGGGCTCCAGCACATCACAGATCATGACGATGACAAAAGACAGGGCAACGTTCAGATCTGTTGTGTACAAGGTATGAGCTGCATTTGACTCAACAACACCTAACAACATATTCCAAAGATCATGGTCATTTAGCTTTCTTTATTGCAGAATCATGCACAAATGCAAACTTAAATATTAAACTGAAATGTCTGAATTACAGCATTTATGCAGTAACTTTACATCTCATAAGTTCTTTCCGCATACTTCCCACTTAGCAATTTCTTAAATATTACTTAACAGAGAAGTTGCTGAAAATAATCCTCTACAGTATTATCTTGCTTATATATTCTTTAAAAATCTTAATTCAGTACTGTAAAGTCCTCTGACAGTAAGAAGGGGAATGCCGGGATAGACTTCACTTCAGACTAGGAAAGACAAGAAAACCGTACTTGTCCAACCTCCAGCTCCCATTTGAAAGGCTAGCTTCTTGGGAAGGACAGATGGTTAGAATTTTTCAACTTTTCCCCTACTACACCATTGCTGTGACTACATTCTGGGTGTGGCCAGGAGGCAGGGAAAGACTACTTCTGTTCAGTTCTCAGCTGTGGGAGGAAAGGGGCATGGCTCCACTGAGGACACTGGAACCAAGTAGGCCTTTGCTCTGTCACAGAAAAATGATGTTTTACACAAGGAGGGGAGCTGAGAGGGTTCAGCCTATTGTCACTCATCCTCTAAGCACTCAATTGCTAAAGCTGGGTTGTAAGAAACTTAGAACCACTATGTTCATTGACCCCAGCACCCACTTGAGAAGTAAGCTGTAATCTTTATAAACATAAACTTAATTTGCAACAAAAAGTCCAAGAATGTTTTCAAAAGCAGTGGAAGTTGTAAAGAAAGGCAACTGGAAGAAGACTGAGAACGTCCATAAAAATATTAATTTGGTTTATTACTAAGATATATAGGTTCTTTTTAAAAGTGTAAGGATTTCAACTGTAACAGGAAAAATCCATCTTTTTTTTTTAAGAGGAAAAAATGAACTTGTGTGTATATACAGGCATACCTCAGAGATAGTGCAGGTCAGCTGCAGATAATCATAATAAATTAAAGTTAATAAATAATAAAGTCAATAACATAGTTCCCAGTGCATATAAAGTTATATATACACTATACTGTATATAATCAATCACATATTAAACAACATTTTGGAAAAACAGCAATTTGGAAAAAAACTATTTGTGACAATTACCAAAATTTGACACAGATAAAAAGGTGATCACATGCGACCGGCACACAGTAGTGCTGGACACACTCAAGGCAGAACTACCATAGACCTTTGAATTGTAAAAATGCCAGTACCTGTTAAGCACAATAAAGGTGTATGGCTGTACATGATAGAACTCTGGTGGGGCACTGTTAGGCTGCTAGTAAAAATGTCCATGGTTTGAAACCACCAGCTTCTCCACAGGAGAAGGAGGGGGCGCTCTCCTCCTGAAAAGATTCTCAGCTCAGAAATCAAATGAGGTGGAAGTGACTTAACAGCAGTGAGTTTACACCTGTAGGTGCATGTGCACCTGTGTAATGTTACGGTTGTTGGCTAGCATTTAGTCAGTCACTGACCCAAAGCAAAACCATGAATATAGAGTCGGATCACTATGATCCCTAGGTTTTTATTAGCTTTTGTACAGATGCAGTAGTATAGCCCTGGTCTGTCCACTTGCTGTACAGAGGTAACTCGTGGTTGTTGTGATGCTAAACACTGTGACACTGATGTGTCAAATATGATAATGGTTACCCATGATGTGCTCATCATGTGTGTGGTAGAGCTCCCTGCTTAAAACAAGCTTGGAAGCAGGAGTGGTATCCACTTCCAAAATAGCCTGCCTCCGGAAACATTATAAACTTGGAGAGAGGATGAAAGTTATACAAGTGTTCAGGTCTTTTGTTCATTGGGTCACTATTAGGTCTTCGACTTTATGGCACTTAACAACAAAAACAACACCAAGGAGGCAGCCAGCCAGGCCTTTCTTTCTGTGTTAGTCTGGAAGCTCCACTGAAACCTGATCACCATCAACCTGCTATTGAGTCAGCTGACAACTAGCTATCTTATGTAAAACACAACCACTGCTGCGCAGATGCCCATTATGCCAGTCACGGTGTCAATCTATCTCATGAAGGATTGTCTTCTCCTTTGCTGATCCCCTGCTTTAGCAAGCATGATGTCCTTCACTGGGGACAGCCCTTCCTGACAACATGCACAAAGTATTTGAGATGGTCTCATTATCCTTGCTTTCTAGAAGCAAGCTAAATGCACTTCCTCTAAGATAGATTTGTTTGTTTCTTTGGGAGCCCATAGGATTGTCAATGCTTTGACAATACCACAACTCAAAGGCATCAGTCAGTTCTCCTCTGGTCTTCCTTATTCATAGTCTATCTTTGACTTGCATATGAAACAACTGAAGATAGCATGGTTTGGGTCAGATGTACTTTAGTCTCCAAATTGGCATCTCTGTTCTTTAGAACTTCCCAAAGGCCCTTAATAGCAGGTGTGGCCAATGCTTCCATCATTTGCTTCCATCAGTGGCTGTTTTCATGGGTGCTGACAAAGGAGTCAAGTAAAATGAAACTGTTGACAATACCGTTTTCCCCCTTTATTAGGCTGTTGTTTATTGATACATTTATGAATATTTTTGCAGAGGTGTAATCCATTTGATCTTCTTTTTTTTTTTCTTTTTTTTTCCCATTTGATCTTCTTAAGTAAATGTTTCAAGTCTATTTGACTTTTCAGCAAGTAAAAGTGAATCATTTGCATAATGAAGGCTGGTGATGAGTCTTCCTCCAATCCTGATGCCACATTCTTCATTTCTGAGATCACTGCTCTGCACACAGGTTGAACAAATATGGTAAAAAGGATACAGTTCTTTTTCTTTTCTTTTAATTTTATTTTAGGATACAGTTCTAATACATATTTTGTTTTTAAAAATCATGCAGTGTTAAAAAAAGAAACAAAAAGAAAACAAACAAACAAAAAAATCCAAACCCAAACCATGCAGTAACAACTTGTTTTAGCAACTGCTCCTGGATTTGAAGGTTCTGAATAGTCACAAGTATTCTGGAATTCTCATTTTTTCTCAGTGTTATCTAGAATTTAGCATGGTCTACACAGGTGAATGCCTCTCATGAGCATGCCCAAACAGCTCATTTGTTGAAACACTTCAGCTTGTATCTATCATTTCCGGAGCCTTCTATTTCATTACGCCTTCAACGCAGCTTAGACCTCTTCTTTCCAAGTTACTTCCTCAAATTGATCAATGCCAACTAATTCTTTCAGTTACTGTGCTTGTTCCTTCTACCTTCTTTCGCTGCTCAGAATCCTAACAATATGCAACTTTCCAGTTACATACAGGTGGCGGCTATGCATGAGGTGCACTATCAGGGAGTCAAGCAATAATCTATTCCCCATTCTATGATCTCATTAGGTTGTTATGTTAAAAAAGTAAAGATACGCAGAAACTAAAGGAAAACCCAAAGAATTTCCTTAATATATTCACTTATCAATAAAATCGACAAACCACTAGCAAAACTCACAAAAGAAGGAGAAGACACAAATAATCC